TAACTCATATTTACATAATTTATTAGGGATGATCATAAAAATATAATCATAATTAATCGATTATAACTTCCGACATAACGGCATCATATTAAAAGTAATAGTTAAACAATATTAAACCCTTTGTTAAAATATACCTCTCCAAATATGTTTTCCTTTTCATTATATACAAAAATACTTAATATTTGAACAAAAGAACAAATAATATATAATACCCCTTTTGTTTGCGGCTTGTCATATTTCTTTTATTATTTTTTGACAATGTTATGACTTAAAAGAAGCTATTCGTGTGTTATTAGCTAAAAAACATAATGTATTTATTGAATCCAATACTGACATCGATAGTAATAATTATATTGATGTTTTTAATGTAAATTGAAATTGATTATTAGGAATTATAATATATGTGTACCCGGACAAATGTTATGATTGCACATCAAACCAAAATCCATTGTTTAAACATATGTTTTCATCATCAAACACAATGTTTTGCTGCAGAATCGAATAAAGAAAGAATTAATTAATTTGCATAATTACCACACCTCGCGTGTCTGTATACTAGGTTGGGCAGGCAAAATCTATAAGACAATTTATTATAACAATTTCTTTATATATTCAGATCGCGAAATATCTTTTGAAATAAGAACGATTGAAGGATTACATATTTTTAAAGAGAGAAAGAGAAATACTTTTACTTTTTATAACCTCAGCACTAAGGCAAATACAATACAAATGTATATCTATGTTTAAGAATCCAAGCTTCTTTGGGTCAAATCCGCCAAATCTTAAATTATGTTCGATGTTTGGTACCTCCTACACGAAATGGTCAAAACATGACACTTTCTCACACAACTTATAATCATTATTAAAAGTCTTAAATGAACCTAACAGAGTTTAAGGTTTTTCTAAAACTTTGCACATTGTAATATTTCTTTTTATCAGACTTATATAAGAACCCATTGATCAAACTTCCTCTGGCAGCTCTAAATATTGAAAACATGATGTGATCCATTGGCTGTAATATTGAATATAAATCTGATACTTTCTAATTAGTTTTAAGTAACATTGCTTATGAAAACTTAAAGAGGTCTCATAAAGAGTTAAGGCCGAACAATCCTCGCACTGAGATGGACCTTAATATTGCCTCAAACATGTCATGTGCAAATATGGACCTACAACATTCACTGTTCGTTACATGATGCAGCTCACGATATTCAACATGTTTGAATATGGTATTATGAAGCAAAATCAAATGAATGGTGCAATTTAGTATTTCAGGTCGCAGAATATTGTAAATATTCTGACAACAATCTTAAGGTCTCAGCTTAATTACTAACAGAGCTCCTAACAATCTATTGTATATATAGTTCGATATTTTGACATAGTCTCATAAAAAAGGCTTCGCACCATGTTATGTATTTTAAAGTTGAAACCCGCATTTTCAGAAGGTAATATAACACTCTGGGTTCTCGATCGTAAACATCCTTTTACAAGATCATCCTACAGGATATAAATAAATTTGTCTTTGCCGATCATCATAAAGTTGAATGTATAATAAATTGGTCATTCAATTTGCCGAAAGACCTGGTGAAGTATATGTTTTTTGATCAGAATAAATTCTATGTTAGTTTAGTCATGACCATCTGTCTGCCTGTTGGAACTACGACAAAGATCACAATAATTAGGTAGATTGTTAGTTCTTCTACGATGTTTTGTAAGTAAGATTTATTGATTGGGAAGGCGAACAACTTATTCGCAGATAGTTCTTTTTATCCCCATTACCACATTTTGACATATCCTCTATATTAAAGCCCCATCCCATTGTTTATGTTGTTAACTGTTTGTAATCCACCAGATTATTTGTGGATTATAAACAGGAGTCGCAGAAAATTGTCAATATAGCTTCATGTTTTGACATAAACGCCATATCTAACCTCCTTTTCCAAACGATATTTTAGCATTCCGGATTGTTAGTGGGAAACACATTTTTTCGCAACAAAGTGTGCAGAGGATAGAACATGACACAATATTTTCGTTTTCCAGAGGACTAAAAACATCTCAGCACAATTCACAATCTTGGTCCATAAATTACTTAGCCCCTAATAAGGGTTCTGACCGTTTTTAGGTATTTCGAATGACAACCTTATGATGAAGTTTATAAAATTCTGTGTCGATTTATGTAAATTACATACATATACTAGTATGTTTGGTATTGAAAATTAGGATATATCGTTTCATGTTTTGGTGTAGCCCTCATGTCAAAGTACCCCCAAACTCGATATGTCGGCTGGGACAAGGAATTTAATTGCAATGTTTCCGTATTTTTAGACAGTAACTTAGCATGCGTAAAAATCGTTCCAGAAGAAATTTGTTATTATGAAACATATACCGACCAGGGTTTATGTCTGCATATGTTTGTAACAGTCAAAAGGAAATAGACCCATGGTTCCTTTTGAGAGTATGCACAGAATCACTTTCTGAGTCGATTTATGAATTTACGTCCGTCTGTTCATGTTAAATTGTAAGCAAAGTACAGGTCGCATTTATAATTCGAACCCGGTTCAGATTTAAATATAACTCCCACATATATTTTCGTCCAAAGTCCCAATATTTCCTCATGTGTTTTAAGTTTCGTAAAAATCGGTTCAAATATAGCTCCCCATATATTACATATAAAGACTCAGGCTTCAGTATTGCAAGGGCACTAGGAAGCATGGAGGTAGATCAATAATGGCACACTGCCAGTAATGGATCGGATTATACAAATGTGCACAGCACCAAAGCATCTTCACCCTATAGAAAAATCTTTGTAGTATCAAAATAAGGTTTCACAAACAAACAGACATAACCTCTTCCCAAAGGTTAAGGATGCGAGGAATAGTACACCCAAGGCTAAAATTGAGCATCGTACAGATTCAGTACCTCGTAGGTGCGCTGCCGTAATTAAACATAATGGTTGTGCAATCGACAGCATAACCATTATTTTTAGCAACATTTGCTTATTTATAAGATCAAAAATTTAGAGGACATTTATTCTGTTTACAATTTCAGTTGCTTTAGTTTTGGCCACAAGTGTATATGATAGTCCGATTTTCTGCAAATGGTGTACTAAAATCCCTCGATCAAATTATTAGAAACGAAGGAATGATATGTTTGGTTTATGTCGATATATATCTTACTGTACTTTGCAATAAGAATCGTAGAATCATTTCTTATGTATACCCAAAGTGGTGAAGGGTATCATATAGTCAACCCGTTCAACTTTTGAACTTTACTTACTGCTTTTTGTAGTGGTATAGAGACGTATGTATAAAATAGGATTTTGGACACAGCCAACATAAGTATATCAATACTGTCCCATTTTATGTATATTCATGGTTCTATCCTAATTTTCCAAATAATATGGCTATACGTATTTATTTCGGAAAAATTTGCAATCCATTTTAGGTTTTTGATCAAAGTTGGATCTACATCATTTAATAGATTTAACTCATTTTTTAAATCCTTTCATGGGTTCTGAGCGAAAAAAAAACAATATTCTGACCTTACAAAGCTGCGGAAATCAAAGCACCTGTTCTGTTCACGGAAATTGTTTAATACAATTATTTAATGTTTTAATTAAACTATGTCTAAAACTCGAGTAGCCAAACTTTAGATAAACGACGGAAATACCAAGAATCAAAATCATTTAAATAAATTATTTAATGGCTATAACCGCGAATTTTGTGTAAAAGGCTAAAATAATTAAAGATCAATGAACATTAGGTCTAACCAAACATAAATCAAAACTATGAATAAGAACAATGATTTGCAAAAATCTCCAAAAATTCAGATTTGTTCCGTTTCTGATTTCACTTTCAATCGTAATAGAATACCCCCTTACCACTGTTACGGATTCCCCTTTTCCGCTGGCATATTAAAAACTGTGTCATCCAAATTTTTTGAGGGTTGGTCAATGAACGACATTGATTTTCATGACATGGTTTTTTTCCTGCTTGTGGTCATTTTGTTTATTTTTCCGCAACTGTGGTTTACACAGAATCGACCAGTTCACTGAACTTCGGATGTTTTGGTTTTTCAATAAATTCACAATATCGACCCCATATCAATGACATCTGCTTTGAAAACCCAATTCAAAGCGTTGGATTTCATTATTGTTAATTAACATGACGATGAAGAAGAGACATAACCAGAAGTCTGCATTTTTCGATCCGTTCCAGTAGTTGTATGAGTCGTGTTGTTTGAATAAAAAATAAATAAATGAGTTGTGAGTGGCGCTCATTTGTGACGTATTGTTTTGAAATTTATTTGTTGTTAGCTGCTTGGCTAGCTGTTCAGCTCATTGGCTATTCCATTTCATGATATGACAACAACAACGACAAAAACAAAATTGGGGAATACCTTTGTAGCGCCCTGAGCCAAATACTGTGACTTAAATCATATGGCAATTTAACTAATTGGCGTTTAGTCATTTCACGCTGGAATTTCAGTTTTTTTTTTCAGAATCTAATCTAATATTCAAAGAATTCAGTTTGATTCTTTCATTAATGATATTCAATGCAGTGTGGCATCTAATTGCTACGGATTTGGAATTTTTGTTTTGTGGTGGACACACAATGTAACTCTAGTTTTCGAATCACTTGAGGATATTCCCTAAATGGTCAAGAGAATATGGAATTCCTATTTTTTTTTGTTTTTATACAAAAAAGCGGAATTGTAGCTCGTGTCTTGTGGTAACTGAGACCTCCTGTCATTATGCGGATATATTATATGTGTGTGTATGTATTTGTTGTCTTTTATTAAAATTTATTTATTTGCATTGTTCTGTTTTATATAAGTTTTTTTTTTCATTATTGTCCCCTCCATAAATCTATTTTTGTTTGATAGTTGTTCACAAGTTTGTGTGAAGATTGTTGGCGGATTTGAATGTTGGCTTGATTTGATTTTTTTCTCAATGTTACGAGTCATTGCATTTCATTCATTGAACTAGTTCGCTCACTTACTCGCACAATCGTCATCGCTACTCGTGTCAATCGCTGAATGATTAATCATGTTTTGACAGTCGATTAAAACAAATTTAGAACAATTGTTGTATTGAAGTTTTCAACATATTTGCTGACGTACAAAAATTAATTGGCCACCATGGAAATACCAAAAATCGATTTGTAAACTTTTCTTTTGATCGCATTATTTCTAACGGCGTTGGGAGTGTCATAGAAATGTGGGTGTCGATGACTTCTTATTGGTGGTCAACCTGGGAGTAGGGTCGTTAGTTACAAACCAGTTTAAAAGTACGCTCAGATCAATTGCATAATTTATACCGTTAAATTTCTTAGTTTGAATTCTTTCTATTAGAGTTTTTTAATTAATTAAAAATGTGTACTATTATTTATTTCTGTATTGTATGGTATGTACACTGGTGCTACACCATTTACATAATGTAATGAGAAATAAAAAAGGAAACAAAAAGAAAGAAATCACAGCCTACAAAAAAAAACAACATTCGATATGATTTATTTATGGACCGTGGACAACTGGGAATGTGTGATCTGCCCAGTAAAAATTATTGCTAGTGTGAAATATTCAAAAGCACCATGTGAAGAACGGAGGAAAAGCGTGATATGACATTATTTTACGATCAGACCTTGATCCGATGCAAAAAAATTTAAAACAATCATGAAGATTGAGCATTTTGTAGACTTATCTCATCCCGATTTTGTAGATAAGAGTACCTATCTTGCTGAAGAATCATGATGTTTCTCTATAAAGCAAACGTTCAAAATCGTGAGCGAACATCTGCGGAAACTTATTTTCCAATTAATGTAGTAGCCCGATCTCAATTTGAATACGATTGTAAAAGAGACAGTGTTAATTACCCTGTATCAATTTTAATGAGCTTTGGCAACGGATCCGAGTGGATTGGAAGAATATTCCAACTGAGATTGTCAATTCGCATAATGACATCTTACAAAAAAGAGCTTCAGACAAAGTACTAAAATATTAATGTTCTGCAAGACATTCCCAACGTGTTAGTTGCAGTACAATAAAAGAGTTTTCTTTATAATAATAATTTTGTAAAAAATAAAAATCTTATTAATTGAGAATGGTTTTGCCAACATGTAGGTCATGTTTTTAAAAAATATGTGAAAAGTCTCCATGAAGGTCATAAAAATTGACAAAAATTTAAAGAATTGTGAAGATCGCCGGGATTGCAATTCTTTTAAAAAAGTCGATATTTCTACTTTTCAACTTCATGGTTTACATAAAATAATAAATTAGGAAACAAGTATGTACCAACATTTGTTCATTCCATTTACAACGAAATATTCACCAGATACCCTATTATGCACCCTAAAACATTTGAACATTCTTGAGCAGAATGTAATTCTATGCCGATTTAGCCATGTTGAAATCACGATAGTGCTCGCGATTTTTGGGAGAGACCTGACAACTTTCACATTTGAAATATTACACATTTCTGTGACGAGTTTCGGGTATATTTCAATCCTCCCTAGATACCACTGCTTGATCATTAAAGAAATTTAGCAATGCAAGAAAAAGAAGGTAATCGCTTACTGATAACTCCGGACTGTGTAGCGGATGCATTAAAACTTCCCTACCAAGGTCCTGGAGTTTCTCCGATTTAATCAACATTTTCGACGACCGGCTTCAAAGATCTGTAGAAGGTTGTCTGTGCATTGAAGTCCAGAGGTAATCTTCTTAAAGGAATTTCTGCTGTTTTTGGAGGTTCAGACTGCTGGCTGTAAAATATGAATAGATTTGCAATAGGATATCTATCTATACAGATGGAAGACCTATAAAGAACTCATTTCAATAGAAAACTTACAGAAGAGCTTCTTTCTTCAGAAGGTCTAACGACACATTAGATGTACCGTCTATAGAATACATGTTAACATTTTTCTACCTACCCAAGACCTTAAAAGGCTGATCCTCTGGCTGTAAAATATCAATTGAGATCTCCTGGAATACTTATAATACACGATACAGACAAAACGCGTCAAAATTCCTCAAAATATCAAAATTAATAAGGTTTACTCAAAAAATTGAACCTATATTCATATTTTTTGTAAGAAAATTTGGTACACAATTTGATCGCAAATACAGACGAAAAACTTGTCAAAAAACAGGCACCCTTCAATCTGAACCGATTTCAATATTCACAGTCATTCTAGACATAATTTGGTACGCTGAATCTCACCTCAATCGAAAATTGTTCACTAAATCTAATCTATAAATGGGAGCTATATCGAAATCAGAACAGATTCCAAATAAATTAAAATACTTTATCCTATACTCAAATCGGCGAACAAATTTTATCTCATTCGGATAAAAATGCGATTGTTTACAATTTACAAGCACATGTGAACATGCATAATATCATGTACAGACGAGCGTTGTTCGCTCTCTCATTCGTGCTTCGACACTTAATTATAAAGTAATTACTTAGTTCCCCATACAAAATTTACGGAGCGAACACCGACTATTGTACATTGTTCAATTCGAGTCACCCTAACAATTGAGAGTATACATATATCGAAAATAAATTAATTTTGACAACTTGAAAATATTTATAAAATGTTCAAACTTTTTCAGTAAAACTGAAGATGATAAATGAAAAGTAAAAAAATTTCTAGTTTTTATATATGCAGAAGGATGTAAATTTTGTTATCTACACAATGCAATGTGCATTTCATTCCCTTTGGTGCTAATTAGCGTACAAAATGAGAAATAAAAGTGGTTGAACCCCAAACAAAAATTTTCCAATTTTTTATATGTGACATTTGAATTTAGAAAATATGAAAATATATTTAAAACCAGTGAGCGGAGCAGTATATTCGGACGGGGCCGACTATATGATACCCTACACAACTACCACGAAAAGCACACTTTCGGCGGATCTATATTCTGAGCCTGGACAATATTTCGTGATATTTGCAACCTTTTTACATATTATAGATCAACAACTCCTATTTCTAAGTCTTGCATATTTACCAAAATGTTTTTTTCTTGAAGAGAATTTTACGCCATACAATAAAAAATTTGTCACTTTAGGTTTTGGTTGATTGGACCCTCGGAAAATTGACCGATCATCATCTAAACAGCAGCTCTAAATATTTGGTCAGATCCCCTTCACCTTGTAATTGTAAAATATATGATGTTCTGTGTATAATAATTGCCTCTAAAGCGACTAGAAAATCTGACAAAATTAAAGTTTTCGGTTCATTGCACCCCCTGAATGAAATCTCAACTTCACCAAAAACTATAAGCGTCGTCCTTGACCATAATCGGAACTTCATGTACAATTTCAAAGCGATCAGCGCGTCATTTCCGTCCTCTAATGGAGTAATAGTAATAATGTGCACATAGTCACCTTTACTTAATTACGTATAACTCCCGCATCGGAGTACATAAAGCCATATAATTGGTATCAATTTGAAGGTCAACAACTCATCTTGGACATACTATCAACATCTCGAGTATATGTCCTTCAGGAGCAAGTATATACGTCCCAGAATAAAAATTTTGTAATTTTTCACACAAAAGTCAGGGTCCATTTGGCCCGCTAAATATTGACCGATCTTTATAAAAACAGGGATGGTTATTCTTAGGCCCGATCCCTTCTCCATGTAAAATTTCACGATGTTTGGACCATAACTGCGGCCTCTGGAGCGACCAGAAAAATCGACAAAAATTTAGTATTTGGTCCATTTCATCCCCTAAATATTAACCGATCTTTATCAAAAATAATAGGGGTCTTCATTGGCCAGAACCCATCCTACATGCAAAATTTCGTAAAGATTGGTCCATAACTGTGGCCTGTATCGTGTTTACAAATTATAATGGGCAGACGGACGGATGGACACACATGTCTAGATCGACTCAGCTAGTCGAGAAATGACTATCGGTATACTTAAAGGTGGGTCTAGGACCAATATTTCGCGGCGTTACAAACTTTTGGGGCTGCACAAATCTATAATACCCTGACAACATAGTTGTGTAGGGTATAAATATAATAAAATATAATATATAACAACAATATTTTCAGAAAAAATTGAAAACATGAATTAAATTAAATAGATATGGGTCCATACTATAGTCAGGAGAAGATCTATATGTGATTGAAGCAAATATGTTACAATTTTGGTGTAAAACAAGAAACAAAAAGTTTGAAATAAAAAGCTCTGATGACATGAATTAAGAATAGTATTGTATGAAAGGGTTAATTCATGTATTTTCTCAAAAGTACCCAGTAGAAAGTGTCTTGCAGATAACATTAACGAATCGTGCAAGACAATGGCAATTCCTTGAAGACACTTTGCAGACAACAATGTGAGATCGTTGATGAAATTTTCACACATGTGTCGCAGTATTTATGCAAGACAAATTGGGCGACAGGGTAAGCGAGAATTTCGTTGACGACAACTTCGGCGACTAAAATCCCTACTTATCGTTAACGACAGATTCACTTACCATGTCGTTTGAACAGTCGTTGATGACCAGAGATTGTCCGTGTGACTAATTTTTAGGTTTTCGACTGTCAATAAGGTGTAAACGTCGAAAACGTCATATGCCTGTATATAATGTAATAAATGTAGTAAACGTCATTTATTTCAATATGATCGACATATGTAGTTATTTTTAAGAATGTATATTATTCATACATAAATCTGACTACTACTTACTAGAACTGATAACAAATTCTAAACTTTTCGAGAAGAACATTTTTGAAATTTAATATGTTTAATGTGTTTAGTCATTTATGATAATTCCATAAATTTCATCAACGTTTCGTCAACGAAATTGTCAAGCATGAGAGTATTGTCTATTGGGTGACTATCTCGTTTATTTTCGATTTTTGGTCGAAAATATACAATTTTTCAAAAAATAAAAAATAAAAATAAACGGTAATAATCCTAGTAAAGCACGTTCATTTGCCTAGCGGTTGAAAAACATAAAAAATTGAAATAGATGATGCGGGGTCCCCTTAAAGTAAATGTAAAATCACCATAAATGAAAATTATCCGCCAAATATATAAATTTTCGAAATTCCACATCTATCATTAAATGTTGATATTTTGATTTTCTAATTTAAAACCTTCATCCACATGGAGAGTATATTGAGATGAAACGAATTCGGATGTAACTGCATCCCAAATTCGTTGTTTTAAGAATTTTTGAAACGTTTTCAACAGAATGGACAGTAATTTCATATTTTTGGTTTAAAGAAGACAGGCTTCATTAATAATCTAGCTCTATTTTTTTATAAAATATCAATAAAAAATGTACTTACATATAAAGTTTTTGTACATTTTCAAACCCAAATCCTTATCCTTATACAATTTATGTATAATTTTTATACTTAGAGTTTGAATATCTTCCTTTATTTTGTGATTTTAGTACCAGTACAATACCAAAAAGGGATTTTTGATACGACATTTGATTTAACACTTTACGTATACTAATTTCCAAAAACAATGTTTAAAATGTTAATATTTGTAGAAACATACATTCAATAATAATTAAAATTGTATTCATAATTTAGAACTAATTAATGAATTATTCATGACTTATTCCACAGTAAGAAGATTTTCCCACATACAATAAATAAATAATATAACTATATTGGCATTACTACTTGAGATCACAGATCAATAATTAAACAATACATAAAATAATGTTATTAACCAAACTTAAGGCTCCATATTATTGCGAATCCAATCAATGTAACTTCGAACACGAGTATAAATGGCTGGGGTTTCAAGACCACAACCTCTTCCATAACTAACAAGACCTTCAACAAACCAACCGTCGGGAGTCAATTGGGTAAGGGCACCACCAGAATCACCCGTACAGCTATCCTTACGATATTCACCACCGGCACACAACTGCTCGTCAGCCAGCAAATATGGGCAGTTACTATTCTCAACATAGGGTACTTGAACTTTTTGTTTTCCCGCAGTGAATTTTACTGAGAAATAAAAAAATAACATTTTATAATAGATATATAAAATTATATAGTAGCAAAACTTACCAGTTCCATTATGTCCCCAACCGGCCACACTTAATTTCATTCCATTTCTCAATTGTGGTAGATTCGGCACGGCATTTGGTAAACAAACTGGGGCCACAGTATCTGTATAAATGATCGGTCTATCGGTTCGTATCAATGCAATATCATTGATATTATAAATTTTGGAATTTTTATTAAAATCCTTGTGGACAATTATCCGTTCTACATTAAAACGCTGATAGGGATCGATGCAACCGAAATTGTTGCAATCAATTTGTGATTGGGTATTATGATCACCAGCCCGCAATGAGACTCTAAAAGAGAAAATGTGGGAACTAATTATAGAAAATTGAAAAAAAATTATTATTTAATTCAGTACTTACAATTTTCCAACCTTCTCTTCGATTTTCCCTTTTATACAGTGGGCTGCCGTGAGAACATAACGATGATTAATAATGTTGCCAGCACATACAGATACTAAATCACCATTTGCTGTAAGAAGAAAGAAGGAAAGTTGTAAAAAATTAATTATAGTTCAATAAAAAATGACGAGCCTATTTTTTAAATCTAAAGGACTGTTAGAACCATTGGCGTGGATTTTTTAAAGAATATTTTTTTCAACGACTATTAGAGCAATAGAAATCAAATTGATTATGTTGTGATAGACGGAAGGCATTCATCCAGTGTTTTAGACGGATTCGGACCATTACCTTGTGGCAACCAAGATACGCACCGGTCTTAATGTAGCAGCAAAGGGGCGATCTATCACAACACGGAAACTCGACGTCGAAAAGCTGCAAACACAACAAGTAGCTGAGGCCTACTCCGCTCATCCACCTGATTGATGCACTTCTTGTCCCGATAATAGTATAGACGCACAATGGCAAATAATTGCCCACTCCCTACAAACTGCAACAAAAGCAACACTTGGGTACCAAAAACCACCACCAAGATGTGAAAAAGGCAGCATATAGGGCAACCCTGTAGTCATTAGCAACACGTAACGTGATGGAGAATTATCGGAATAAAAGGAGAGAGGAGAAACGTGTTTTCAGAAACAGAAGAAAGAACCAGAAAAACACCAAACTGAAGGCTTTGGTGCAGGCATATCCTCCTGTAGAGATGAAGAAGGAAAACTGGTGACAGATATAGACAGCGTGTTGAAGATCTGGAAGGAGCATTTTGAAAAACTTCTGGTATCAAATAGTACCGGTGAAGAGGATACCCCAAAACCAATAAGAGATGATGGTATAGAGTGTATACCACCTAGCCAAGATGAGGTCATAAAAGCAATTAATTGGCTCAAGAATAAAGCAGCAGCGGCCGATGGGTTACCAGTCGCACTATTCAAGACTGGTGGCCAGATGCTGGTCAGGAGCATGCACCAGCTGATTAGTACAATTTGGCTAGAGGAATGCATGCCCAATGATTGGAACCTCCGCATCCTGTGTCCCGTGCACAAAAAAGGAGACAAGACGATATGTGCCAACTATAGAGGAATAAGTCTCCTTCCCATCGCATTAAAGTGCTATCCAATGTGCCGTGTGAACGACAGAAGCCAATGGTCAATGACATCATTGGACCATACCAATGCGGCTTCAGACTTGGCAAATCCACCATTGACCAGATTTTCACTCTGCGCCAAATCCTGGAAAAGACCCACGAAAAACACATCGACACATACCACCTATTTGTCGTCTATAAAGCCGCATTCGACAGCCCTATCCGTTCAGAGGTATTTAAAGCCATGTCTACGTTCGGCATTCCTGCAAAATTAATACGGCTATGCAGGATAACATTAACTGGCACAAGGTCAACAGTTAAAGTAGGAAAGGACCTATCGGAGCCCTTCAATACCGAACGAGGTTTGAGACAAGGTGAGAGTTTGTCGTGTGATCTTTTTAACATCCTGCTGGAAAAAGGTCATACGAGACGCAAAGGTGAACAGAAATGACACTCTGTACACCAAACAACACATGTTACTCGCCTTCGCCGATGACATCGATATAATGGGTCGAACATTGCGAGCGGTAACAGCCACCTTTGAACAAATTGAAAAGGAGTCTGCCAAAGTCGGTCTGGCAGTAAACGGCGAGAAGACCAAGCTGATAGTATCATCGCGCAAAACGTCCAGTAGACTCGAATAAACTGTGGACCTTGAAAACTACAGCTTCGAGGTAGTCAACAATTTTATGTACAATAGTTTTGAAATTCGGAGAACGATGTGTTGGCCAACATATGCTACTTTGATCTGAGTAAGCAGTTTAGAAACAAGGCCACCTCCCGCCAGACCAAACTCGCACTTTATAAGACGCTGATACTACCCATACTGGTATATGGATCTGAAGCATGGGTACTTGCACAAGCAGATGAGGCAGCTCTTGGTGTGTTTGAAAGGAAAATTCTCCGAAAGATCTACGGGCCAATTTGCGTCGACGGTGAATATCGGCGTCGAATGAACCACGAGCTTTACCATTTTCACGCGGAAATCGACATTGTCAGTTGTATTGAGCTGTAGCGACTACGGTGGCTAGGCCATGTTGTGCGAATGAATGAGAATGTCCCAGCTCAAAAGGCATATAAAAGCGAGCCTACTGATGGTTCCCGTAGAAGGGGAAGGAAGGAAGACCAAGTAGAAAACAACATCTAGGAACGTGGTCTTCCAAAATGGTGGATTTGCGCACAAGACCGACGCGCTTGGAAATCTTTTTAAGCTTGGCTTATGGAACAACCGTTCTGTAACAAGTCAGCTAAGTAAAAGTAAGTATTAGAGCAATAGGCGTGTATTTTTTTAAGAGGATTTTTCAAACACTGTTAGAGTATTAGACGTGGAGTTTTAAAGGACTATTAGAGCATTAGGCGTGGATTTTTTAAAGTGGATTTTTTCAAGGACTATTAGAGCATTAGTGTTTCTATTAATTTTAGTTCTATTTTATTAATGCACAAATAAATCTTATAACAAATTTTTGTTTATTTCTTTATAGTGATAAACGTGATGTCATGCATTGACCTACGTCAAGTCGAGATAAAAGCCACAGTAGTCATACGTAAGTAGAATTTTTAAAAGTTTGATATTATATTCGGTATGCATACGAATTTTATCCGGAAAATTGTTTACATTCCTCAAAATTTCTCTTGAGTAACATTTCAAAAATATTTTTTATTTATCATAATTACTTCTCAGAATCGTGTTCAGAAAAATTCTTATACATTGCATCACATATTATAATATCGTGATGATATTATTTAATGTGCACTACCGGACATTCGAAAATGATTCATATGTTAGCTAAATAACAACAACAATGTCAACACTTACCTTTTCTGTGTTCCAAATTTACCAACCATGGAAATTCTCCCAACTCAGCTTCCTCACCACCATAGATTTTATTGACCACCAAAATTGGACCACATACAGGTGGTTTAGGAAATAGTTCATTATCATATTGTTGTGATCTTTCCGTAGACGCGTCTTGTCTTCTGTTCTTCGACGTTTGATAGGCTTCCCTCTCATCTTCAGTAGGAAATATTATGCGTTGACTACTCTGTTGTGTTCGATCTACAAAACCAGTATCCGGAGTACAACAAACATACGGACGCTGACCTCTGCCATTGTTGCATTCTGATTTACGAACAAAATCATATTTACTGGACGATTTGTTGCGCAGAATATTCACAATTGTCGAACATTCATATACGGAAATACAAACACCCAAACGGCCGTTGGGATTGTAACATTTGTGTGAAACTTTAAGAATAGAAAAAAAGCAGAAAAGAATTTAATAAAACTATCAAAATAAAAGTAAAGAAAAAACAAATAAGCACGATTAGTGTAGAATAGAATTTATTAAAAAACACACACACGCACAACAAATGCCGCTATCTAACTATTCCCCTTTACTTGGGCTCGTGTTCTAAGCGGTTATTTGTCTATTGTTATTAGTATACGTCACTTCATACAGTGGTTACAAATTTGCATTTTATCACGATTTCTTACATAAATGTTGTCAGTTTTTTATTTAAATAATAAAGAAGAATTGTAAATTAACAACATATCACAAATATTGTAAGTCCAATAACGTTAACAAATTCTGTATTGAGTTGGAAATGAAATTTAATGTTCAAAGACTCAAAATAATTCCTAAACATTAGTTTCCAATAAAATTATCATCCAATATTATCTGTGCTTAATCTGGAGAATATATTGGATGCAAATTCAATTCGAAGCATAATTACGATTTGTACGATAGTAAAATTTATTTGTGTACACGATATTGTCCGAATGTAAATGATACTGAAATGTTGTACACAGGTGTATTTTGTTTACATTCAGGTCAAGTTCAAAGATGGTATTTTCAGTATTTTGAGTGTCAGTATATATTTGTGTTGCCCCAAGAATTTGTGACGAAGCTTAATATTGGTCCTATTCCCACCTTTTAGTATACCAATCATCATATCTCGACAAGCTAAGTCAATCTAGACATGAATGCCCATAAGTCCTTTAGGGGTCTAATAGAGAAAAAACCTTTATTTTTGTCCAATTTTCTTGTGGCTCTAGAGGCCACAATTTCTTCTTATTGACTGTTTTCAATATTTATCGGGTCAAATTAACATACACTTTTGGGTGAGAAATTATATAATTTTTATATTATGTCGTCTTGTTTCTGTCAGGGAAGATATATTCCGGATATATAGAAGCTGCAAATGCATAGAGGCAGAAAAATGTTCATATTATGTCGTAATTTTTTGTTTGGAAGATATATATCGGATCGATAGAGACTGCAAATACCTTGCTGATCGCTATGAAATTTTAAATAATATAAAGTTCCGGTTATAGTCAAAGGGGGCCTTCTATAGTTTGAGGTGGGATCGGAAAAAAATAGGGGGATGAAATGAACAAAAAAACTATTTTTTTCTCTATTCCAGCTGCTCGGATTAAAAACCGCACACCACCAAATTTTAATTGGAGAAGGGAATCTGGTCCGAGGTAAAGCATGCGGGTCAAATATACCAAAATGCGATAAAATGTTGCTATTGTATCCAAGAGAAGAATTTATTTTTTTGTTTTGTTATGACACGTTAATATATTCGCAAGAAACATATCCGGATCGCAAAATTTTTTTGACTGGATTCCCATATCATTGGAAAGATTTACATTTCGCTAATCACATGGTAAATGTTTTGCTCTACAGTCAACTAGATCCGGTATGGAATTATTATACTCTCAGACTTATGGCTAATCAGGGTATATACACTTTGCTACGGCAAAAATGTGTCTCATCGAAATTTAGACCCCATGTTTCTTTGGACCAAATCCATTTTAGATAATTCGATTTGAAAATGTACTTCCGTCTGCATGGCCGGCTGGTGCACACGATAACTCTCGGAGGGAATATCCGATTTCATACTAACTTTGCTCATCATAATTCCTTCAATACTTAATTTAAGTTCGAAGATGGCGAATATCGGTCCACTCCTTCTGGTACCACACCCACAAAATGATCAACATTTTGCTGAAAATAATTTTTATAATATCATGCGAACAGACCGAAACCGATTTAAACCAAACTCTGCACAACTTATTACTTTTACGAAGCCTAAATCAAGTCCGTAGATGGGACCCATTGATCTACCTCTTTTGGTACCTCCTCCACAAAGGGTAAAACTGTTCAATACTTGCAAATCCTATATTAGGCTAATGGAATGTCCGATATGAACCAAACTTTGAACAACCTATTATATTTACCAAGCCTAGATCAAGTCAGAAAATGGGACTCATTGGTCCAATCCTTCCGGTACCTCCAATATTAGGGAAAAGGAACTAAACTTTACACAAACTATTCTATTTGAACCAAACTATGCACAACCTATTATCTTTACCAAGCCTAGATCAAGTCCGAATATGGGACACATTGGTCCACCCCTTCTGGTACCTCCCCACAAAGGGTCAACATTTTCCATATTTATTAATCCAATATCAGACGTATTTGAACCAATCTTTGCACAGCATATTATCTTTACCAAGCCTAGACCAAGTCCGAATTTGCGACAATGGGTCAACATTTTCAATATTTATTAATTCAACAGTAGGCGAATTGACTGTCCGATTTGATCAACACTTAATCCGAAACCTCATTAATAAAAAATATACCTTATAATAAAGCCAAGTCCGAAGTTGCGACAATGGGTCAACATTTTCAATATTTATTAATTCAACAGAAGGCGAATTGACTGTCCGATTTGATCAACACTTAATCCGAAACCCCATTAATAAAAAATATACCTTATAATAAAGCCTGTCCAAAGAACTGCGCACACCATAGGCTGAAGGTATGTATATATCAGTCGGGAACATCGAATGACACTTTTTATACCCTCCACCATAAGGTGAAGTGTATATTATATTTGCCATTCCGTAACATCTCGAAATATTAACCGGAGGTTTCACAAAGTATATATATTCTTGATCAGTTTAAAATTTGTATGTCGATTTACATTTACATCATTCGGTCTGTCTGTTGAAATCACGTAGAGATCTCAATATTTATGATACAGCTCTGAAATTTTGCACAGACATTGATAGAACGCCTAGGATGTTTGGCATTGCAAATGGGATACATCGTTTTGGTATATTCCCCGTATAACGGTTCCCCCAATATTCGGTATTTTAAGGATTTTGAAATTTTGGATTCTCATTGAATAATACATATCTGTACCAACATTTATTAATATTCACCAAAGTCTCAGGGTAGCCCTCATATAATGGTACCCCCAATATTCGATATTTTGGGGATTTTGGACACGTTTTCCAACCGAAGAGGCTGTTATTTGGTATTTTGGGTTCTCATTGAATAGCACATCTCCGTATCAAAAATTATTAATATTTACTCAAGTTTCAGGGTAACCCCCATATAACGGTACTCCTAGTATTCGGCATTCTAGAGATTTTAGATACGTTTTCCAACCGAATATGCTGTTATTTGGTACGTTAAGTTCCCATTGAATAGCAAAATGATTAATATTGACCTAAGTTTCAGGGTAGCCCCCATATAACGGTACTCCTACTATTCGGCATTCTAGGGATTTTGGATACGTTTTCCAACCGACTTGCTTGTAATTTGGTATTTTATGTTTTTATTGAATAACACACCGTACCAAAAATGTTTGATATTGGCCCATGTTTAGGGTAAGATTTATGACATGTTCCTCAATCAAATTGGCTCTAATTTGGTATTTTGGGTTCTCAATACGGTATCCCCACTAAAAATTATTAATATTGATCCAAGTTGGTATTTTGAAAATTTTCAACGAATCGGCAGTAATATGGTATTTTATATTCGCATTGGCTGTAAATCTCACTTCCAAAAAATATCAATATTGATCTCTTTTTTATTATACCCTTCACCACACTGTGGTACAGGGTATTATGTCTTTGTGCATATGTTTGTAACAGGCAAAAGGAAACGAGATAGACACATGGTTCCTTTTGAGAATATGCATAGAATCACTTTCTGAGTCGATTTACGCATGTCCGTCTGTCCGTCCGTCCGTCTGTCCATGTATTTTTGTGAACAAAGTACAGGTCGCATTTATAATCCGATTTGAATGAAATTTGGCATATGTCACGTATTTGGCCCAAGGACGAACCCTATTGAAATTGGGAAAAATCGGTTCAGATTTAGATATAGCTCCCATATATATATTCGTCCGATTTAATGTAAAAAGTCCCTATATATCTTCCGAATCTTCCGAAATTTGGCAAATCGTAATGAATTAGGCCCAGAATGATCTGTGCTGAGTTTCATGAAAATCGGTTCAGATTTAGATATAGCTCCCATATATAGTTTCGTCCGATTTTATATAAATGGTGCACCAAAGTCCCTATATATCTTTCGATTTGCACGAAATTTGGCACAGCGTAATGAATTAGGCCTAGAATGATGTGTGCTGAGTTTCATGAAAATCGGTTCAGATTTAGATATAGCTCCCATATATAGTTTCGTCCGATTTTATATAAATGGTGCACCAAAGTCCCTATATAACTTTCGATTTGCACGAAATTTGGCACAGCGTAATGAATTAGGCCTAAAATTATGTGAGCTGAGTTTCATGAAAATCGGTTCAGATTTAGATATAGCTCCCATATATAGGTTCACCCGATTCAATGTAAATGGTCCACCAAAGTCCCTATATATATTTCGATTTGCACGAAATTTGGCACAGCGTAATGAATTAGGCCTAAAATGATGTGTGCTGAGTTTCATGAAAATCGGTTCAGATTTAGATATAGCTCCCATATATAGGTTCGCCCGATTCAATGTAAATGGTCCACCAAAGTCCCTATATATTTTTCTATTTGCACGAAATTTAGCGTATCGTATTCCATTAACTCTAGAATGATGTGTGCTAAGTTTCGGGAAAATCGGTTCAGATTTAGATATAGCTCCCATATATATCTTCATCCGATTTAAGGTAAATTGTGTACCAAAGTCCCTATATATCTTTCGATTTGCACGAAATTTGGCACAGTGTACTAAATTAGGTCTAGAATGATGTGTGTTAAGTTTCCTGAAAATCGGTCCAGATTTAGACATAGATCCCATATACAGTGGCTCCATCGAATAATCGGACAAGTGTTTGTCAGATATAATATTGCTATACATTTCAAAAAAATGTCTAAATGTGTAGTTTTTTTTCGCTTTTATTTACACATTGCTTACTTATATTTCTGAACAATACAAAAAGCAA